GAGTGGGGTCGGGTAGGGGCGCTAGACTTGTTGAGGGCTCGTGGTGGCAGAAGGGCTCGGTTGGAAGGGCCCCCGTGGAGCCCTGCAGGTGGGCGGAGGGCTGAGTGGTCGGCCAGGAGGGTGAACTGGGCAGCAGCCCTGGCCGGGAGGTGGGGTTGTGACGGTGAAAACACACAGATATGCCCCTCCTACCACCAGGAGGGCCCGGAAGTGGGGCCCCTGACGCTGTGGGCGCCACAGCCCCGGCCTCTGGGCTCGCGCGCTGGGACCGGCAGGACCTCGTCTCCGATGCGGTTTCCGCCCCCGAGGAGTGGGCGCGAGAATCCCCGGGCAGTGCCTGCCTCGCCGGGTTGGGGGCTTCCGAAGCCGGGGCGCGCTGGGCCTCGGGAGGGGCCGGCCTCTCCGTGTCCTGCGCGCTGTCTGCCCTGGGCGCCAGAGAAGAACTAGGTGAAGGGGTGGGAGCAGCCGTGACCGCACCGCTGCCGCTGCCCTTGCAGCCCTGGCGGGCGCCAGACGTGCCAAAGCACCACGTGCCCAGTGCTCTGCTGGGACTTCAGCCACCCCGAGAGGTTTCTTGTGGTTTTCGTTTCACAGTCCTGAGGCTCAGGGAGGGCAGTTATTTTTCCTGAGGTCACACAGCTGGTCTTCGTGAAGCCAGGGTTGGGGCCCAGCCGGCCGCGGTGCTCGCGCCTTCCTGGGCCCTCGACTGATGCCCACTCCTCCTCCCTCGTTGGCGCTCCCTTGGGGGTGCCGGCTTCCTTCAGGGTCTGAGCTCTCGCCTGCGCGTCCTCCTTGTGGGCCCCGTGCCTGCCCTGGGCCGTGGCCCTCCTCACCGCAGGCCCTGGGGGCTGTGGCTCAGCTTCCTCGTCCTCAGGGCCCACGGCCCTTCTCTCCCCTGCCCCCTCCCACCCCAAGGCCCAGGCTTGCAGCTCTGATGGGCCCGCATCAGGCAGCACCTCGCAGGTGCCCAGCGGGGGGCAGGCCGCCCTCAGTGTCGCGGCGGTGCACACGCTTCTCCAGGCTGTGCGTGGGGCACGTGCGTGTTTCTCCAGCCCTGGGGACCCGTCAGCGTGTTGGGGGCTGCGCGGCGAAGCTCAGCGCTAGTCACCACACGTGGAGGACCAGCTGGGGTTCAAGGTGGTCATCACCACCGCTGCTCCCTCCCACGAGGGCATGCCGAGTGGGGCGCCCTTCCCCAGCGGTGCCCACCAGGAAGCCCAGACGCTTCCTAAAGCATCTGGGGCCTCTGCGTCTGCGGCCCCCCCAGGCCCGCCCCCCCGGGTCTGCCGTGGCCCCCTCACTGTCTGCACGCCCTCTCCAGCGCCCAGGAACTGTGGGCCTGGTCCTCGGGCCCGTCCTGAGGCCTGCATTTCACCCCTGCCCCCCTTGCCCTACCCCGACGCCCCCTGCCCGCTGAGCCTGCTCTTGCCCAGGGGCAGTGAGAGGCGGATGAAGGAGGGGAGGCAGGCGGGAGCTTTCCAGGGTAGCGGGGGTTCTGGCAGCTTGCTGCTCCCAGCACTCCCGGGGGACCCCGCACACCAGCGGGGCTCTTCTGCTGGTGGCCTTAGGGGCCATTATAGGCAGAAGTATTGAGAAACGCTCTCTGCCTGCTCCCTTCAGGTGAGCAGGAAGTTGGGGGACTCGGCCTGGTGCAGGTCTGTCTCCCATGTGTGTGTGCGCACACGCGTGCACGTGCGTTCTTAGAGCTCCGCCTCTGCGTGTTCTCACGTCTCCGACTCATTCTCCCGCCTGCCTGGGTTTTCCCATCCTCCTCGTGCCTCCAGAACAGTGTTCTCCGTGTCCACGGCTTTGCCTGTTCACCCGGAGCTGTCGGATTCTGGAGTCGTAGGACCTTTTCCTCTGCCTGCAGTGAGGGCTGATCTGAATGAAACCTCATGTGCAGAGGGTCTTGCCTCCCTGCTAATAAGCCGTAGCCTTTCAGGAGAGGATTCCCCCCTCCCCGCCCCCCCCC